TATAAACCCCCCCCCCCCCCAAAGAGTGTTGTGCCACAGGACAACTCTCCCAATTTTTCTATCAGTAGTAAATGAGTTCTATGAGATGACAATCTTTGATCAGTCGTGGGTGGTAATTCGTCACGCTGCTCGTGAGATTAAAAAATCGCCTACGTTACTTAGCACTCGGGGCTTGCTCACACCATATACAAGGCGTTACAGGACGATTAGCTGCTGGAACACACTGTATCGCATCCTGGCCGGCTCCCTGCATTCTGGGGTTGGAGGGGGCATGGCGGTGCATTGAAGTTGATGCCACCGCAGCTACGCCCTACTGTCTGCAGTGGGATCGCTCAAACCAGAACAACTGGCACATCATTGCCTACGTTGCGGTCCAGTATGATCAGAAAAAATGATGCAAGCACCATTTTTTTCGATAGCATGGGTGAGAGGGCGCAGCTGCAGTGCCATTGACTTCAATGCACTGCAACGCCCCCTCCAGCCCCAGAACGCATGGGGGAGCTTACTATGTGATACGGTGCGTTCCAGCAGCTAACCATGCTGGAACGCACTGTATATGGTGTGAAGCAGCCCTAAATCAAAAGCATAAACTTACTTTTTAGCTTTCTGGTACTCTTTTTCCCAATTCCTGGCTAGGACTGGTCCTACTTCCTCTGAGGTGTCTTCTTTGTTAAGTGACCATAAATCCTTTGCTTCCAGGGGCCTTTTGTACCCCTGAATCATCATTCTAGGGAAAAAAATAATAATAATTGCATATATATCCATATAAAGCACAATAGATTTTTGATTCTGTTACAGCTCATGCACAAAAGTGTCTGCATCATTAACAGGATGTCATCAAAAACACAAATCATGTGTTACACAGTAGGGATGCACCAATACTAGTATCGGTGCCGATGCCGAGTACTCGTACTCGCCCAAATGCTCTGATGCCTAGACCAATACTTCCGGAACCATGAAGCCGGCTTCCCGGCCTATCAGAAAGCCAGGCGCCCAGCTTCCTGATTGGTCGGGAAGCTGGCCAATCAGGAAGCCGGGCGCTGTGCAATGACGCGGCGCCCGGCTTCATGCTCCCTCCTCATGACGAGGGAGCATGGAGCTGGCTTCCCGGCCAATCAGGAAGCCGGGCATCGCATCATTACATGGTGCCCAACTTCCTGATTGGCCAGAAAGCCAGGCTCCATGCTTTCTCGTCACCTAGTGACGAGAAGCATGGGGACAGCTTCCATGCTAATCGGGAAGCCAGGTGGCGAGTCATTACACGCCGCCTGGCTTCCTTAAATGGGAGTTCCGGCATCAGTATTCGGTATTGGCGAGTACCGGAAAAAAATATTGGTACTTTTACTTGATACCGAAAAACCGGTATTGGTGCATTCCTAATTAAGTCATGAATACATTTAAAAAAAAAAAAAGAAGGTATTTCACGGTGTTATTTGACATCTTGTAAACATGTAAATCCAACATATGGATCAGAACAGCACTAAGCAAAGTGTTAGCTGCATTTTGTGCTACTCCAAATGGAGCAAGGTCTGTTGCATTCACTCATTGTAAGGATCTGTGCTGACATTGGTTCTGGGCTTGAACCAATGGCATTCATTTGGCATCAGTTTGAAATGCTTCTGAGATCATTCAGAATTTATTGCCAAATAGATATTATCTGCAATTGACCTCCTTCTGACCGCTATCAAGTAGATTTTACATTCCTATAAACCTGCATGGGATGGCAAACCCACTTCAGGAGAAACAAAATACCACAGAAATAGACACCAAACAATCGAAACCCCTTCAAAAACAAACCTTAACAGTGAAATTCCCTTTCAGATTTTCTATGCCAGTCACAAGATCAGTCTTTTTACAAATGCATAGAATGTACTGTATGTTAGCATCCAATGACTTTGTAGAAATAACATTATCCTTTTATCAATAGCTAAATTGCATAAATAGCAGATGATAAAACTAGTTAGACTAAGAGACATTATTACATATAACTTACAAGTTAAAGAGGAACTTTACCAATATCTTCAAAATAACAACAAGTACACCTTTAAAAATGTTTAGCAATGGCAATTTACAAACAGATACTTATAGATAATTGCAGGCTTTTTATTCGTTGCATACCTTATTTTTCTTTTCCTCCCCATTCTTCCCACAGTGGACATTTTTACTAAGGGCAGATTAATATGTCTCCCTTTACTTCCTGGAACTCTGGCACGTGACTAGGACATGCGATTAGGACACGTGACCATGCACATCATCTCAGGGGAGGAAAATACCTTTCCCTGAGATCTTGCGAGATTACAGATTAGATTTCCCAGCAATGCACTGCTGATGTAACCTTCCCAGAATGCAACACTTTTGCATGATTACATCACTTTTGCCAAAGAGGACAAGAAAGCAGAAAAACAAGAAATTGTAAGTAAACTGAAAATATGTTTAACTAATAAATATAGGAGATTTCATATCATCACGCATAGCTTCATGCTGATATGATTTTTAGTCAAAAGGGGGTAAAGGCCCACTTTAAGAAACATCCTAATAAAATGTACATAAAGTGGGTTACATATACATGTCAAGTCCCCTGCCTGCTGATGCTCCACTTCCCTATATTCCGATGCTACTCCATTACCCTGCCGGAGCCATTGACAAAAGCCCAGTGCTTCTGGATAAAAGAAAAAAGTGACCACCTTCAAGGAATGCAGTGCTTGGCCTGAATAGCCAACTACTAGACCTAAGGCAGAAGTCATGATCACTGTGTAAGCTTATACAGGGTTAGCACTCTTGGTTCCAACAAATGGAGCAGCAAGGAAGAGCAGTGATACAGGGCAGGGTCCGTTCAAGAGAATCTATCACTTTGCCCTGAATCTTCAAAGCGGCAGAGTCTATTGCAGCTGCACAAAAAAAAAATAATTTAAATATATTCCTCAATAGTCACAAAGCATTACCATCCATTTTATGTGACAAATGCCTTTGTAAACCCAGTTATTACCTTGTAAAAAGTAGCAGTGACATATTAACTGTGCTGCACATAGTCTGTACAGACAGCGACAGCAAAGATGTGAGAGAGACCAAGCAGGCACACTCACTACAGGTGTCCTGCAAAAAACTAAAAGGGAATTACATACTAGTCTGACCAGCCTGTACAATGGGAGAGAGCAACAGTGACCGCTCTTATTTACAGATAGCACCTGCACAAATGGAAAATTTCAAGCTGGATTACTTCTGGATCTAGAAGAAATAAGATTTTTGTGCTTACTGCAAAATGTATTTGTTGGAGTCTACTAAAAGGCATGAATTCAGAAACTTTTGAGTTATATTGCCATCTACAGCAGGACTGGACATTGGCAAGCAAACAAATTGTGGGCCAGCCAGAATAACCCCTCTGACTCCCAGTATGCCTCAGTTTTGTGACAAAGCAGAACCAAGAGCAATATCATAGCCACAGGGGTGGGACCTGCATCCCTCAATGAACTCCAAGAAATAGATTTTACAGCAAGTAAAAAAAAAAAATTAAAATATGTTCTGGTCCACTGAGGGGCACAAATTCAATATCGGTTGGCATTCCAACTGAGGGCTGAGGAACTGAAGGGTTAAATCCAGAATCCAAATCTTACATCTGCAATCTCTGATACAGTTCCTGAAACCCCTCTAAGAGTATGAAACATTCCCCCAGTCCATGTGTTGTTTTTTGGACTTCCTTAGTTGGCAATAGAAAAGGCAGCACCCTCTCCTCATGAAATACGAAAGGTTTATTGTTAAAAGAAACAAGAATACTCACAACTGGAGCATATAATCATACATGTAATGAATTCATATCCAACACAAGTCTCCCATCATCAGGAAAAAACAATTCATAGGTGATTGATCAAAAACAATTCATAGGTGATTGATCAAATCAATAGACCGGACCGCCAGGCACTGTAACCAGACTAACATGTTTCAGGGTGCATCCCCTTCATCAGAGTACAGTAATACTGAGATCTCTACCACTTATATATACCACCAAAGTGTAACTGACCTATCAGAAGTTACTTACTTGATACAGGTCATCATGTCACTAAGATGGTGGAGTCCCCTATAGGATTCAGTCTCCATAGCAGGCTGTCCAAGAAAAATTGCCATATATACCCTGTTTCCCCGAAAATAAGACCTAGTACTATTTTTGGGAATTGCTAAAATACTAGACCTACCACGAAATAAGACCTAGTTGTGACCATTCACAGGGCCGGTGGTGGCATAAGGGGGAACTTGAAGAGGGAGAGGCAGGAGAGAATCAGCGGTGCCAACGAAGCCAGCTTTAGAGGAAGCGAGGTGGCACCGGAGGGAGCAGAGCCGCATAAGCCGATGCCTCCTCTATAGCGTCGGCTCCTGTCACAGGCGGAGTGATACCACATTCACTCAGTCTGTGAGGAATCAATAGTGAAAGTTCGTGTCGCTCATTATGGCCAGCGATTGGTTAGCAAATTCCTCTTGGTACGGCACCCCTGATTGTCCTGATGACCATATTTTTGTACATGAATACATGTAGACTTTTTCTAAATGAATAAGTGTGGATTGTTGTACATTGAAAAATAAATAAAAAAATAAGACCTACCCCGAAAATAAGACCTAGTGTGTGATAAAAAAAAAAAAAAAAATATATAAAAGGCAGGGTCTTATTTTCGGGGAAACACAGTCCTTCATTTTAGGCTAATAACAGTTTGCTTATTATAATGTTTCCTTATATGGAAACATTATTCCATTTGTTTTCCGGCTGCGCATGCGCAGTCTGTTAACGCGCATGCGCTAAAACGCTAACCGCGCGCAGATGTCCCAACAGTATACGCTGGATTATGATTAGTTCACCATGAAATTTGCATGCGTACAGCAATAGCAGCCTGCAGGTTCAGAGTTTATCCCAGTCTGTATTCCACTGCCAAAATAACTGGACTTAACCATTATTTAAGACTGAATTCACCTTTCAAGCACAGCCATACTGCACAACCTGAGCACAGATGCATGCTGATGAGGCTGTTGGTATAGGTCAGGGGTAGGTAACCATGGCTCTCCAGCTGTGCTGCAACTGCAAATCCCATCATGCTTATGCCTCTGGGAGTCATGCCTGTGGCTTGTAATGCCTTATCGATTTGTAGTTTCAGCACAGCTGGAGAGCCAATGTTGCCTACCCCTGGTATAGTTGATACACTGTGGTTTCACAGATTCAACCCACAGGGTTGATGTTAGTTTGAAATAAAAGCCTTAAATTATTAAAGCCACTATATATAAACTAAAAACGTCAATAAAAGGAATTGTAAAACAATGTAAATTCATGCGACATAACATTAAAAACATTGTGACATAAACCTCAATTAATATCACCATAAAGGCATTGTGACAAACCTCAGTTAATAAGGCATACTTGCCACTGCTAATAGATCTCTTTCTCTCTCTATGGGGGAAAGCACTAGTGTTAACGTGTTATTATAAATGTTATTCCCCAAAAACTATAAAGCTGAATTAAATTCAAAAATTTTGTTTAGGCCAGTTGGTAGAAGGGCGTTTCATTTGTAAATCCAGTATGCTTCCTCTAAGTAGGAATAGCCTCTATTCCAAAGGCCGGTAAGTCTGCTGGATCTGCCTCATGATGGATTAAAAAAATGTCTGGGAACTGAATGTTTGTCTTATCTCTTGAGGATATTCCTCTTGTTCCCCAAAACAGGTGCGCATGTATGAATTGTTCTCCCTACGTAC